ACGGGGAAGGGGGGGGGAGGGGGGATCCACGACACGACATGGCTGAATGATGAGGATTTAACGTCCCTTTAATAGTGCGAGTGTCGCCTCTGCGGACTCGATGGATGGATGGATGGATGGATGGATGGATGGATGGATGGATGGATATTGTATGGATGCATGGGAATGGATAGATAGATGGATGAATGGATGGCTAGACGAATAGAATGAATGGATTGGGATGGACGGTGGACGGATGGATATATAGATGGATAGATGGAGGAGTTGGTGGAGTTTGCTTAGCTAATGGGTGGGAAGAAAGACACCATCAACTATCACGGCGCGCAACCTCTCTCTCTCACACACACACATACACACACGGGCGGGCGGGCGCGCGCGCGCGCGTACGCACTCACCCACACGAACACACCCACACACTTCCATACCGCTCGCATAATTACCGTAATGGAAACCGTGTCAAACCTTTTAGGCTCGCGTATCGTTCAGCGCGCCCCCTCCGCGTTCCCCCCAGCCGGCCGCCCCAGACACAAACACGAGCTCAGCACATTATCACGCTCCAAACATACGCTATGGAAGCTCGGCTCGGGAGGCGAGAACGACACAGCTGCACAACTAAGTCCCACGCACGCCCACGCGCCAGCGCCTCAGAGGAGAGCTGAGCAGAGCCGCGCGGGGACCGGAGGAGACCGGGGAGGAGACCGGTGGGGACCAACTATAAAACGACTAAGTCCGCACTATCCCTTTACGGCTCACGTGACCCACGCCACCACCGCGCTCCACACACTACTGGAAATGGAGTTTTCTCTCAGTACGCCAAAGTGCAAGGAATTCGGCACCGTTTTCAGTCAACGTCTTGTTTGTCTGGCCCGTCACGCTAAGTCATATTGTGTCCAAATTCCAATCCTGACGATAGAAAACGTACACTGGAAAATGCTTGCAGACTATATTCTACACTCTAAATGTCAAGGGACAATTTTGTCCGTAGATTTGCAACGATTTCGTGCACATCCAGAAAGGATGCAATTTTGTTCCCTTAACTGGACAAATTGTGTGAAGTTTCACACAATTTGTCTAGTTTTAGGAACAAAATTGCATCCTTCCTGGATGTGCACGAAATCGTTGCAAATCTACGGACAAAATTGTCCCTTGACATTTAGAGTGTATGCAACGTTGCAGAGGATTTTCGAGCTTTGTAATGCAAAGAATTAGTTTGCGTTATAAAAAAATTCTTTGCATTTGCAGGCTGTCAGAATCTTTTGTGAACTGTGTGTTTCCATTGCAAAGAAATAGTTTGAAAGCTTGAGAAGAACGAGTTTGTACTGCAATGCCTTAAAAAAAATTGTAAGCTGTAGAAAAAATAGGTTTACAATACGAATCTGTTCTTTGCAAGCATTTTGGGTAACATGTCACCTTCAGATCACTAATTTCTGACGTTGGCTTTCAAATAAGAATCCAGTTCTATAGATGCAGTGGGACCGTTAACAGTAAAGCAGCACCAGCAGAAGCCCCGTAGCATGGTGGCGGCGGGGGACGGGAGGGCAAGCAGGTACCGGACCGGACGTGCAAGAAGTACTACCCCGTTTGTGGAGGCAAGAGCGAGCGAGAGAAAAAGGGAGAGACATGAGAGAGAGAGAGAGAGAGAGAGAGAGAGAGAGAGAGAGAGAGAGACGCAAGCTGGAAGCGAGCCGGTAAATCACTTTGGCCAGTGTGCGGCGAAACGCTAATGGCCATAGCAGCTCGGAGCCCAGGCGGGGCCGCACGTCCCGCCAGCGCCGTGGCCGCTGGGTGTCTCATCGGCCTCGGCCAGCGCGGTTAAAAGAGTGTCACGGTCAAAGCAGGTCGAAAGCCGGGCCGCAGAGTCTCCGAGACACTCCGCTACTCTTGTCGTACAATATAGACCCCTCACCGGCTCAAGGTCAAGGCCGCATGAGCTGCAGCTCGTCGGCGGGCGGCAGACCGGGGGGAAATATTGGACGCACATTATTAGATTTTTCTTCGCTATCTCGCACCGCCGCTCTTCCTAAAAAAGTCTTCTCCTCGGCGGGCAGCCTCGCCTCGTCCCGACTGTTAAGCCCCAGGCCGAGCCAATGCATGGCCGCGGGGAAGGCCCTGGCGAGCGCCCCTCCTCTCTCTCTCTCGTGCTTCGTTTTCGTTTCATTCCACTTCCACCCATTTTTTGCATGGATTTGATCGGATTGGACGCGTAAGCCTCCCACTCCCTCCCCTCGGCAGACGGCGCCAGGCCTCGCCAGGCAGTGACCGCTGCGAGCGGTAATCTTGGGAGGTTGCGGCCCTCGGGCCCCCCTCTGGCTCTCCCCCTTACCGTTCTCCCCCCGTCACAAAGCGTGGCCCCCGGGCGCCTCCGGGTGGGTGTGGACGGTGCGGCCCCCCTCCCCCCCTTTCCTCTCTTTCCCTTCCCAGAGCCCCTCCGGGAGCAAACCCTTCGTCCACAGCCAGCGATCGGCCCGGCCGCAGAGGGGGGCCATCTGGCCTTCGTTCCGGCCGCGCGTCGGTTGGTCCCGCTCTGGGTCCGGCGGCGGTTCGTCGCTCCGCCCCGCCCCGCCCGCCCCGCGTCCGGAGGCGCCAGTCTCGCGCACCGCGCCGCGCCACTTAGGTATGGAAATGCTCGACTAAATGAGTTGTGGCCGGAGACCCCCCCCCCCCCCTTTCTGCTCCCCGTGACGCACACATGGGGCCTAATGGGGACCCGGATGGGGTCCCGGATGGGGACCCCGATGGTGAAGCCGCCGCGATCGACAGGGCTCACTTGTTATTTATGCCCGGATCCAGCAGCCCAGCACCCCCTAACAGCCGTATGGCAGGCGATTTTTATTTTTCCTACATAATAAAAGAGATAAAGTAAAGTAAATAAAAAATAAACCAGAAATATCTGTGCTCCTGGGAGAAGTAGGGCGAGAGTGGGCGGGGCGGGGGTCGGACAGAAAGAGAGAAGGAAAGTGAGGCGAAGTGAGGGCGACGAAGAGACTGTGTGCGAGGTAGAGGCTTTGAGGGAGTTTACTGTATCCCTTGCCTGGGTTCTTAGGGTTCTCCCTCCCCCTCTCCCAGGCTCAGGGCGGCGCACCTCGCCGTCGGCAGGGGCTCAAACTCGATACAGCTGCACGTCTGTGTGCCTGCTCGCAGCCCGCTCGCAAGGTAACTCGAGGCTCGCTAAGTCCTCGGGGCCGGGAGCGTGGCGTGGCCGGGCGGACTGTCGCGACAGAACGCCCTTTGATCTGGACCCCGGCCAGTCGATCCACGGGCGCCTCAAAGCTAAACATGCCCTTTAACCCCCTTAACCCTCGCCTCGCCCATAAGGACACAGACTGACCGCACCAGGTGACACTCCAGGCGCAGCGGACCCCGGCCCTGCCCGGCCAGGCCCGCGCGCCCGCCGGCCCGGAAACTCAAATTAACGATCAAAGAAGCGGAGCAGGCAAGGAGGGGTCCACCGGGTTGCCCCCCCCCCCTCCCCCGCCCCATCCCCCGGCCCACCAACCCGTCACCGGCCGGCCTGCTGCTCGGGCTGGCGGTCGCCGCCGCTGGCCGCCCGCAGCGCAGAGTCCACTGGACTCCCAAGAGTTTGGACGTCCGCGGCGCACACAAGGAGTGCGGCGCGCCCCGAGGCTGGGCCGAGCACACTGCTACCCACGCCTTTCCACCACCAGCACCTCCTCCTCCTCTTTTTCCTACCCTCCCCCCTGCCACCCCCGCATAAGCCTCCGTCCTCCCGCTGCTCAGCCCGTGCCACTGCGGGACATCTTGTTCGAGTGGCTGGAACGCCTTTCCCGGAACGCCAGGAATGCCGCTCACCTGGAGGAGCTACAGCAGCGCCCTCCCTTCTCTTCACCCACTCCTTTTTCAGGAGAGATATCGTGTTGCCGCAGGGTCGCCCGGGGAGGCCTGGCCGGCTCGGCGGTCGAGGGGGTCGCCCCCGGCCCGGGCCCGGCCCGGCCGGGTCGATAGAGTCCTGAATTACATCACCGAGCACGTGCGAGCGGCCGGGAGGAGAAGGCACCCCGTCAAGAAGAAGGAACGTACACAGAATAAACAGCGTCCCGCCTAATCACAAATTCGGCCGTCCGGTGCGCGGGGGGTTCTGAAGGGGGGCCCTACAGGCGTTCTGCAAAATGCAAAGCGCTCGGGGAGGGAGAGGGGAAGGGGGATGGTTGCAGACAGAAAGGTGAGCAGACCAGAAGCGAGAGGAGGCACCGCCGGCAAAAACCTGCTTTCCTTCGCACACTTTAACTGCATAATTCTCCAGGTGCCCGCCGCCAGCGTCGGGCGGAAAAGGGGAATGGGGGATACGTACGTCAAGAAGAGCACCGTCCCCGCTACGTAGTGTTGACGTTAGCAGGTCACTGTGCGGGTCGCAGCCATACACCTCAGGAGCAGCATTATGCTCCGGAGAGAGCCGCTCCTCGACACTTGAGGCCACGGTACCGAGTTTGGCCGCGCAGACCGACACGCGGATGGCCTTTTGATGGATGCCGTCCGCCCCGCGCCCCGGGCCCGGCCCCGCCCGGCGGCACGGCCATCTCCGGCGCCTTACGCCACTTTCTTGATTACGTCGAGACGGAGCGAGCGGCGCCACTTCCGGCTTTAATTTCATTAAGTAAGCGTCAGGACATTGTTTACCCCGAGGCACCCTTTCCACCCCCCGCAGCCCCCGACCCCTGGCCCCCACGCCGCCAGCGCTGATGCTGCTGCTTCGCCTTTTCCAGTCAGCAGCACCAGAAATACTTGCAGACTGGGACGACCATTTGTTTAAGTTTTGCGCCCTAACAAGCCTTCGTTGTCCCCGTTGGCCAGACCAAGAACCCCCTCCATTCCCTTATCCATCTATCCATCTAGAGCCATCTCGCTCGAGCGACAAAGACACGGATAAATAGTCGTGATCCCGGCAGCCGCGCCTACCAGTTACAAACGACGGGCCAACCAGCGGCCAATCAATGTCAGCCCCAAAAGTAATAACCTGTACGTGCGAGAGTGTAAGAGAGAGAGAGAGGGAGAGAGAGAGAGAGAGAAGGGCGGAAGAGGAAGAGAGGGGGAGGGAACAAACAGGCGCTTTGACTAAACCATGCCAGAGCCCCCATCGCGAAATTAATCAAAAATATCAGCGGCGACCAAACACTAGCAAACAATATACACAACATGTCCTACTCTTGTGGGCGCGGTCGGTAACCGAACGAAGCAAACAATGAACAAAACAATCTCTCCTATCAGCAAAGGCCGCACGGTCCCCCTAAGAAACACGTCCCACACCCACACATGAACTGTTGTACGAGCGAGAGAGCTTGTGTGTGTGTGTGTGTGTGTGTGTGTGTGTGTGTGTAAGAGAGAGAGAGAGAGAGAGGGGGGGGGGAGGGGAGAACAGCCGTCACGGCTGAGCCACAATTCGTGTGGTGGCGCTGGGCGACAATTTCGACACGTAAGAGCGGCTCGAATTTATTTCGAGCGTGCTGTCATGTTTTGTTAATGTGCGAGCGTCAATGGCAGGCAGGCAGGACGCTACGGCTCTCCCCCTTGTCCCTTTCTCTTTTCTCTATTCGACTCTACCCTCCCCCCTCCCCCTTTCTCTTTTCTCTCTCCCTCCCTGTCTCTTCTCTCCTCAGCTCTGCCTCCCTGTCCCTTCGCTCTCTCCTCCCTCTCCCTCCCTTTTAACTCCCTTCCCCCCCTCCCCTCCATCCCTGGCCCCTGGGCATCTCGCCCGTGAAATATGAAAGCATGACAGGGGACACATAAATAAGCTGGGCGTGGGGCGAGAAATCAACGCTACACTGATAAAAATCATGGAAAAAAGGGAAAGACGAGGACGGAGCAGTACAAATACAACACACAACAAGCAGACACACATATACACACTGACTCGCACACGCCGAGAGGGAGCAGAAAAGAACCAAAGTCGTATTTCGCCAGCACAATTTGCGAGGCGCGCTGTCAAAAAGCGAAATGCTGGTGTAGGATTACTGAAAAAGATATGAGCGCGGAGCGTATCACAAGATCCTATTCAAATTTGATAAAGGCCAACAATCACACTTCACATTAAGTCTTTCTCCGCAGACACCTCCCTCCCCTCCAGCCCCGCCCGGCACTGGCGCGCGCCGGGGCGCATAGGGCAGAGGCCCGGCGGCGCGCCGCGCACGCCAAGACAGCTCATATCCTGCACACTGAGCCAAAGCATGTTACCACGCATTCCCAACGCAAAGTAATATCTCCATGTCCTGTCCCGCCCCCTCCCCCCGCATTCTATCCTCCTTTGTTTCTTTCCCTCATGCATCCATCTTCCTTTCACAGCGGCCCTCAGAGCGGAGGGGGCCGGGCGTAAAGCAGCGAGCCGAGCGCATCTTCCGCACACACACACACCCATTCCCACTGCCGAACAAACGGCACTTTAAAAGAAGAAACACCTTGTTAATTATTTACGCCCGACCCCCCGCCCACTATTCCGGCTGTCGCTGATTTATCAAACGGATACTGCGGCCGTAGTGTATGGTAAACCAACCCTCTGCGCACACAATCACCGCAGCGCTGACCGACCCCCTGTATATCGCGACCTTGTTACTAGTGCTTGCCCACAGCGGGAGGGGGAGGCACACAGCACACAATATCGCTCTCTTACTCAACTTGGATCTGGCACTCTCTCTCTCTCTCTCTCTCTCTCCCTCCCTCTCTCTCACTCACTCACTCACTCCACCGTACTCGCTCTCACTCACACCAACACACAGACACATACACATACACACGAGCGCACCCCGATACCTGACGCACACACGCGCTCAGCCTCCTCATACAAACACGAGCGCGAGGCTTTGGGACCTCACTTCGGCTATTTTACTTGACCTCCACTAAAGCTTTTTTTTTCAGACTTTGCGTAACCCTCGAGGCCCCTCCAGTCAGCCTATGGGCCCTTATTTGCCCGCGGCACACGCAAATTACACGGACAAAATTGAACGACAAAGAATCAGCGGGGTGGTTATACACGTAGTGTCGCCCCGCCAAGGACGGAGGGAGTCGCACACAAAAGAGGGCCGAGCGCGACATCAGGGTCCAGGTCACAGGACACGTGGACTTGGGCCACACGGCGCACAGGGAGGGCGGGACGACACTACTGGCGTGAAGAGCGCGCTTCACGTTACAAGTACCTGAAATGACTATGCCATCCAGTAAATTTCTAGATTTGAAAATAGACTTCTTAGTATTTCAAAATATATGCAGAGAGTAAAAGTCTACCTTTAAAAATAGGTTAGAATTAAAATACCACAAAAAGATCACCTGCACTTAGAAAGTTTAAAAGCTACATAAAAAAACCCGCCACAGCAGAGTTTGAAAGAGCTGTAATGTTGAGTCGGGATGGTGGTCACTCACCGTCCTTGCAGCGGCCGGATCCCTCGCGGCTGCAGCGGCCCTCGGGCCCGAGCACCCAGCCCTGCGCGCACACCAGGCAGCCCGAGTTGGTGCAGAGCGTGCAGCCGAGCGCGCAGGCCGCGCACTCCTGGGCGTGCTTGTCCGGGTGCCAGCCCTCGGGGCAGCCGCGCAGGCAGGTGCCCGACAGGAAGTAGCGGCCCGCCGGGCACGAGATGCACTGCGTCTCGTCCGGCCCCGAGCAGGTGTCGCACGACGAGTGGCACTCCTGGCACCTGCGGGCAGAGAGGAGGGTGCGGTCAGACACGTAAGTCACCAGGCTGGCGGAGGGAGAAGGGCACGGTCAGCCATGTGTGGGGACCTCGGCCGGGCGGGCACGGCGCCTGCGGTCACCGGGGTAGGCCAGCCCGCTGCACAGCCGTGCGCTACAGCCGCTGAGTTGCCGACCTCACAGGCGTCTGGTTGGGGAGTTGGGCAGGGCACTAGTAAGTCGCACTGGTCAGACGAATGTGACATCTGTCACGTTTCACGTTTTTGGTAAATTGTTTAGAAAGAACGTCCTGCTGCAAAACACTCCACTGGCAGAATGCATTTAGAAACTAACTTTGTCTCTGCCTCCACGTCATGGGCATCAGAAGTTGCAGTGCATTAAAAGTGAGGGCTAAGCGAAATGGTTTTACGCGAGAGACCATGACGAAACGTGACACATTTTCCGTTTTTGATCAGAACACGTGGAAGTAACCATCCGTGCACAACGCCTGCGGCCGGCGGGGTAGGCCAACCCGCCGCGCAGCTGTGCGCTGCGGCACTGCCCACCTCGCAGGGGCCTTGTACTGTACCGACAGAGAGAGAGTCCACCAAGTTCAACGCGTCGTGAGACTCCGCAAGCGCGAGGCAACGAACCCTGCGAGGCACGTACCGCCGGTAGGTGTCGTGGCCAACGCTGAAAACAAACCAACAACAAGGAAGAACCAAACAAAAATAAGTAACAGTGATAGGGGCATTAGCGCGGTTCAGCCGCCACTTGGACGGGCGGCTGGGCTGGTTCAGGCTAGCTAGAGGAGGGGGCAGGAGGAAAAATGGTGATTACTCGAGGATGGACGAAGATGGAGAGGGGACGGCTCTGAAGGAGATGGAGCGGCGCGGGTGAGAATTCAAAACTTTACGCCGCGGAGACAACGGGTGAGGGTGGGAGTAGTGGCGGCTCGGAATGGGATGGGCGAGGTGGTAGGGCTGCTGGGGTGCGGCGGGGCG